TCATTAGTACATTTAGTATTTTCATTAGTACATTCATTCGCGCGCACATTGCACTTTTAAGAGTAGAGATAACATTTGCAGAAATATTTATTTCTATACGATTATCGAGAACAAGAGGAATAGTTGAAAGAAAATTTTAATGTTATAAAAATATGGAATAATACATTATTCTTAATTTTAAATACTACAAAATGTGAAAAGTATATACATATATAATGTGTTTATTTATACGTTTATTTATATATTTAAGAAAATGGTAAGTCGTGATAGTTTCTTTCGTTTTCCGATGTTTGTCAGCGTTTCCATAATCTTTTGCCTTCACGAAACATTTTTATCCTAATATAATACAAAGATATTGTTTTTGTTAAACTATGTACATGATTTTTCTCTTTTGACATATCAAACATGTGATAACATGTGAGACTAACATTTACACTACCTCGTACCTGTCTATCCCACAAATTATTAGATTTCGAGTTACTTTTTTCTCAAATGAAACCAGGCACATAAAAGTTTATGTGCCTAATCACGTTATCCTATTGCTATTTTAAACTTACCGAAAAGACTAAAGGACACGCTGAAGCTTTTAATATATGGTCGCTTACTGTAATAACATAATCACTGTTAAGGAAATGATTTGAACACAAAACATATTTTGTATTCTGTTTTATCTTTCATGTCTTTCATAGTTATGTTTTTCCATATATTTGATCAATTCACGATTGAAATCGATTTTGGTCTCTCAATGGAAATCTATAGGTGCGTTTGCAAATCGGAGGCGTCCGTTTGCTTTTTTACCTCGAAATCGTTCGGCAACTCGCATCTTTCTGCTACATATCATCTTATCTGGATTCGGTATTAACATTTCTAGAGCCAATCGAACTGCTCGATCCTTTCCGGATTCAAAGATCTAGAGACTCTATAAATAAAAGTCTGGCCATAAGAAATCTGATTTTGAAGTGTTTTGATTGGTCATTTTTTCTCTAATCTAAGGGGGGGGGGGTAGCTTCAGCACAAGCATATAAGGTTGAAGCTGTATTTGGCGTAATGCTTTCAGCGTTTTCATTCTTGTTTGGTATTTAAGAACAATAAAGATACAGAATGATATTTATAATTGCTTAAAGCATATATGCATCAAAACCGAATACATAGACATACTAATCTCAGAAACACTGACGTAACATATTGATTCAAATAATATTTGAATATTATTTATACAGATTTTATTATATATTTATAAATCTGTATCCAAATTTTGTAAATATGTAACATATAAATAGTATATGTAAAGGGTATCCCAAAATTAACGCAAGATTTGAATTTGCCGCCATTTGTGCAGT